TTGGTTATTCATTTTGAGACAGGGTTTCTTTATGTAGCCTTGACTGTCCTGGAACTTTTACTGTAGACCATGGCTGGCCTTGAAATCACAGACATCCACCTGCAGCTGTGAATCCAGGTAATGTCAGCTACTGAGGGTTAGTGTGAGATTCAAGAGAAAAGAGAATGAAGGGATCAACCATGACTGATTCCAGGTTGGCATGTGGCCAGGGAGAGCATGCTGGACTGAAGCCCCCAGGAGAAAGGTTTGCACAAGCCTGTGAAGCAGAGATAAAAGTAGGGTGGTCTCAGGGCTCCCGTGATTACCTTGGGGATGTGGGACTAAGAGACGGGGTCACTGGGTGGCTTCTTCAAGGTTATTTCATTGACCCCCATGTGGCTTATATTCTAAGGTCTCCTGAACCCAAGAGGTGAGGCCCCTGCCCTGTGCTGTCACCAGCTCCCTCCACAGCACCCTACTGTAGTCCCATTCATGCCGGATGCCGCACAAACGGAGAGGGAGCTAGCTCCTGGCCTCAGGGTTCCTGGGCTTGTGGGTCAATCTTGAGATCATGCCCAGTGAGGAAGGGCACCTGCCACCTGCCGAGGAGCCTATCCTGTGGAGAGGAGGCAGAAATCGAGGCATAGACGCTTTCAAATGTATTTTCAAAAATATGTAATACCATAAAATTTCAAAGTCCAACATATATTGAATAAATCAGTTCACCAGCAATGTACAGTATAACTCTAACTTTGTAAGTTTCTCACAAATCCTGGGCAGACATGTATACACAGGCTCTGAGAAGAGACCTGGGGGTGGGGATGGGGGATATTAACCCTGATTATCCAGACAGTGGAATTATGGGATTTGTAGTCTATGCTTTAAGCTTGAAATTTTAAATTAAACTTAAAAACATTCTCCAGTATATATGTAAGCTTCCTAAATAAAGAACTTTTTTTTAAAGGTCAATGTCTGCTCCAGCTTTCCCTCCCAGTAAGAAGGAAACTTTTTTTTTTTCAAGACAGGGTTTCTCTGTGGCTTTGGAGGCTGTCTATAACTAGCTCTTGTAGACCAGGCTGGTCTCAAACTCACAGATATCCGACTGCCTCTGCCTCCCGAGTGCTGGGATTAAAGGTATGTGCCACCAATGCCCAACAAGAAGGAAATTTTCAAAGCCCCTTCACCCATGAGGACACAGTGGGCACTTGACCACTAGTAGGACACAGGAGGACCACACGTGCCATCTCCATGCCCCAGAGACCCCAGGGCTACAGCTTGGGCCTTCTCACAGGTGGGCAAGGTGCAGAGCCATCTCTTACTATGAGATGTTTTGGGTAAGCACAACTTTGTTGTCAATACAGCAACAGCAGAGCACACTCTGGGAGAAGGTGGCATTGCTAGGAAGGCTGGCTTGGGCCACACTGCCAAGTCCATTTAAAATGAGATAATATCAGCTGGGCGGTGCGTCGCACACCTTTATCCCAGCACTTGGAAGGCAGAGGCAGGAGGATCTCTGTGAGTTTGATGCCAGCCTGGTCTACAGAGTGAGTTCCAGGACAGCCAGGGCTACACAGAGAAACCCTGTCTCTAAAAGACAGAGGGAGGGAGAGAAAGACAGTCTACACACACCCTCACAGGTGGCGGGTGCTGAGGGCTCTGTGAGCACATCTGAGCCTTGGGTGAGGGGCTCACAAGGGCAGCGCTAACCCAGCACCTACAGGGTCTCTGTTAGCACTGAGGGCTGGGCAGGGGTCAGAGTCAGAGCCAGAGCCAGGCCAGGACTTGACAGCGGCAGCTCTTTTACACTCCACTCCAAACCTGTGCTCTCTGCCTCTCTTCCTGTAAACTGTGGGGAGTTTTGCCACTGTGTGTCTCCTACTTTGCTGCATCTAGACTAAGGAGCTGCACTGTACCCAGCCGGCAGCCAGATGTCTGGGCTGCAGCCCTGAAGATGTCGTGAGGGTCTGTCCCCCACATAGAATGGCCCCACGGTCAGCCCTGCCTTTGTGTCCTGTGGTGTTTTCTTATTGTCCTTAGGGACCTTCAGTGGAGGTCATTTTTGCTTCTAATGTGTAACCTGGGTGGTCAGAGATCACTGTGAAACCAGATGGTCTTTGTGACAGTGCTGACACCCCAAGTGCTATATATCTCCCTTCTCTAAGCCCTTTCCATTTGGTGTCATCCATGACTGCCTGCTTGGCTACTGGTGCCAGATGTCCAAGCACTGAGAGGCTATGACTGCCTGGTGTTTGCTGTGTTGTGTCCGTGCTCCTGCTCTGCATTGGGACAGTACAGAGGCTGCATCTTCCAAACGTTCATTTCACACACACAGGTGTTCCTGACCAAGCCAGGCTAGATGCTGGCACAGACAATATCAAACATTGGTGCCTCTACCTCTTGCTTTGGTGCGGGGAGATTTGTCGGATTAAGTTGTGAGTCCCATGGTCAAACCTTTGAGAGGAGATGGCCAGGGAGGCAGGCAGGTCTCCTGGCAGGAAGAATCTTTGGAATGAAAACCATGGCTCCAGTTTAGATCTGTGGTCATGTCCCCAACAGCCTGTGGTCTTGAGGCTTAGTCCCAGGCTTGGGAGCTGGTGGCAGCTACAGCTAAAGAGGTTGTTTTTCTGTTCACGGGGCATGTGTCATTGAAGGAGAGGCTGGGGCTCAATCTAGTCTTTTTCCTTTCTCCAGCTTCCCGTCCACCATGAGCTGAGTGGCTTTGTCCTGCCTCGCTCTTTGCCACAATTTGCTGCCTCACCACCAACCAAAAGCAGTGGGGCCAACTAACCACAGACCTCTGAAGCAGCTGTGAGTCAAGATATACCTTTGCCTGCTTCACATTGATTGTCTCCGGCATTTTGTTACAATAACAGAGAGCCAGCATCGTGCCAGATGGGAAATTTAAGCTTGGGTAAGAAAGGTCCTTTGTCCAGGCACTGAGCAAGTCAGCGTCCTGATGCTCAGACTAAGGACTTGTGCAATCCCAGCCAGCTTTGCTTAGTCCAAAGCCTCAAGCGCACGTGCACACACACACACACACACACACACACACACACACACACTCTCTCTCTCTCTCTCTCTCTCTCTCTCTCTCTCCTCTCTAAATCTTTAAAGATTCATTTACTTTCATTTTTATGTATATGAGTGCTTTGCCTGCATGCATGCGTTTGTGTATTACATACATGCAAGAGCCACTGGAAGTCAGAAGAGGGCATTGGATCCCCTGGAACTGGAGTTATAGTTGTCTGTGAGCTGCCATGTGGGTGCTGGGAATTGAATCCTGGTCCTCTGCAAGAGCAGCCAGTGCTCTTAACTGCTGAACCATCTCTCCAGCCCCTAGAAGCCTGAAGCTCTTGGGGAACTGGCTATCTTGCAGGTAGTCTGGGTCCATTCTTCATATACGTGAAAGGGTCCCCTCCTCCGTCCTCACACAGGAAACCCTCGCAGGTCCAAGGTGAGAGGCCACCATCTTGTAGCGTGACCCTAGTCTTACTCCCTCCAGCCTTGCTCTGGCTGCTCGTCCCATGCTCCCTGAGGCCCATTCAGGGGTACAGAGTATGAACTCCATAGAGTGCATCCTTGGGCACCTGGGTGTGTCCACCTCCGCTGGGTGTGTCTCTAGATGGGGATGGGCCCACGACCTGCTCTTAATGACACAGTTTGGGCAGCTGGACTCTGTTCCCGCAGGTAAATTACAGGCTTAGCAAGTCAGAAATCAAATAAACACTCCAGCTCCCAGCGGCTGCTCCAAGGAGAACAGTGGTTTCCGAGCCTCCCCACCCAACTCAGCCTAATTACCACCTGTCAGTCCCCTGGGACAGGGACCTTTTCTTTGACTCACAGGTCCCAGAAACAGGATGGGGCTGCTGGGCCCCCGGGGTGACGCCAACTTGGTGACCAGCCTGTTCTTAGTTCCCAGACATAAGCAAACGCAGATGCTCCTCCCCTTTGCCCCACGCCTGGCTGGAGGGCTGTGGGTGCCCTGGGTGGAATGGATGGCTCTTGCTGGAGAAAGAGGACAGCCTGGTGGTGGCCATCTGCAGCTCTGTGCTGAAGGTGTCCAGGTGTAGCATGAGACACTTGGAAAGATCACTGACGCAGGCCATCAATAGTAGAAGAAGCAGTGGCACCTACTGTGAGCCAACCTGGACCAGCCACCTCAGTGTGAGCCAACCTGGACCAGCCACCTCAGTGTGTTCTTGATTCTGCTAAGAGCTCACTCTGTCTCCGTGCCCATCCCCAAAGTGGTCAGCATGGTAGCGGTGGTAGAGGGAACTAGAAGTTCCCAGGGTCCTTTGCTTCTAGGCAGAAGGGCAGGCCCAGGATGCATATCATGAAATGTCCCTCTCATTTTTCCTGAAATCCATGAAGCCCAGCCAGATGGTTCTCTTTCTTTTCTTTTTTGAGCCAGGGTCTCCCTATGTGGCCTTGAACTCACAGAGATCCTGTCTCTCCCTCTCGAGCACTGGGATTAATGGCACGCACCACCACACCTGCCTCTGACTAGTCTTTTCTAACAAGCTAACTCTGCATGAGAGAAGGGTAGCAATGCACTGATCTAAGTGTGTGTGTCTGTTACACCTAGACACTTCCCCACTGCAGTGGGGTGGGGAAGGAATGATGTAGAGCCCAAGATCAGCCAGTTTCAGACTCCAGGGCCACGTTAGACCATCCCAAACTGGCCATTCTGGGCTGGGGATGGCCAAGGACCAGTCTTCCCCTAATGTGGGCTACAGTGCTGACTCCAGGCCCCTCAGTCAGCACAGCTCTGGGATGCCGTGTGCATTCAGTCTGTGCTTGGGGTAGAGGAGATTGGGAAGGGGAGGGCAATAGGCCACAAACCCCAAGAAGGGGGTAGAGGAGCTGGGAAAGGACCAAAATTTTAGCAGGAAGTGGCCAGGGGAAGTGAGGGCCTCCTGTTGCCCCTGTCTGAGCTATGATAGCATATGAGGGTTTCCTGCCTCTGGAGAGGGGCCTGGCCAGATGGGGATGGTAGCAGAAGCAGGCTGTTGAGCAGGGTCTCAGTGGCAACCACAGGCCTTGACCACCATGTTGCGGTGTTTTCGCAGTATGACGTTGTTGCTGCTGTCATAGTAGAGCACGGAGGTGGCGCTCAGTTTGGTGGGTGCACAGCACGCCTTGGGGACGACATCTGGTTTCATCAGGTGTACCTGGCAGGGAGGGAGGCGATGCAGACAAGGGCATGACCCTGGTGCCCTCCTCAAAGACCTCCCCAGCAAAGCCCCAGCTCTCACTTGCTTCCTTTCCAGAAGGTCTTAGCCCCTTTGACCAACCCAAGGTCATTCTCCACCTTTGGCTAGAGTAGCTCCCTCCCTGTACATTAGTCCTGCCCAGTGACCTCAGAGCACATGAGTCCCCAGCCACATGACTTAGCGGGCCTGGCACGCAAACCCTTTGGCACTCAGGCCCCAGTCCACTGTCTCATCCAATTCTGCCCAGACACAGACAACTTTGCTTGCCCCCAGCACTGGGTGCCGTGGGTGCCCTCTGAGGTGCCTCTTCTGGAACCTCACGGCCCCACACTGCTTTGCGCTTTAATACATCACTAACAGATATAGAATCGTGTGTGTGTGTGTGTGTGTGTGTGTGTGTGTGTGTGTGTGTGTGTTTTCAGCTGCCCTCAGCCTCTTCGGGCTCTCTGGGTCCTAGGAGCCTGGTCTACATTAAACTACATGGTCTACATTTGGGTACCCTCTTCCTCAGCCTTTGCACAGCAGTCCAGCTGATGGGCCTGGTATGGGGGGGGGGCAGCAGCTTCCCTGAGGCTGAGGAGGAGGACAGGCCTCCAGGGTGACATACAGCCAGACTGGGATCTGGGGGTGGCTGCTGCCACCTCTCCATCCATAAATACATGTGACAGAACTAGGAGATGTCAGGGGTGGGGGGAAACAGAGAGACAGAGAGACAGAGAGGAGGGGAGGGAGGGCGGCTGAAATGGCTGGAATCCAGAGGGAGCCTCTTCTGAGGTGGGACACTGGAGCTGAGGCACCTCTCTCTTCTCACACTGGCCACAGCCCTAGGCATCATCAGGTGATGGTGTGGAGTATATATTCATTCAGTAGCTACAAACTAGGCATCTGTGTTTTTTGTCTGGTTTTTTGTTTTGAGACAGGGTCTCATTATGTAGCCCTGGCTGTCCTGGAATTCGCTATGTAGACCTGACTGGCCTCAAACTCACAGAAATCCACCTGCCTCTGCCTCCTGAGTACTGGGATTAAAGGCATGCGCCACCACACTGCCCGGCTTGGTTTTCTCCTTTCTGTCGACGTCCTGGATGCTCCTGATACAGATGCCCAAGCCAGGCTCCCTCTATCATCAGTGAGCCACGATACCCCAGAACACATGGTCCTCCACTCGGTCACTGTTGCTTTGCTTATATGTTTACTATAGCCTCCCCAGGGCGCAGGGGTTGTCCTGTCTGCTGCTGCGAGGCAGGCCATGAGCACTTGCTTTGGCTGAGCCATTGTCAACAGGGGAAACAGAGGCCAGAGCAAAGTGGGGAGGAAACAAGACTTCTGGGAATAGGAAACTAATGACTGCATATCTCACTGTCACCTGGGGCTGCTCCTCCCAGGACAGTGGTTCCAGGTGTCTAGCAACTGCCAGTGGCCATGGTGAAAGGATGCCTTAGTGTCAGTTCAGACAGCTCTTTTTAATTTATGATGCTCATTCCAGGGCATCACTTGGCATAGCTTCTTGCTAGACTAACACAAAACCGTGAGACACCAGGATTCCAGGAAGAACATTCTAGAAAGTCTGGACAGCAAAGTCAACAAACACAAACGCCTGTCAATACAGGCTGCAGTGTGGCTCCTGCTAGAACCTGTTTCCATGGCCCAGAACCTAAGGTTCACCAGTGCTACCCATTGAAGGAACAGCCAGGAAAGAAGTGGGGTCAAAAACCAGCGACAGGGGCATGGCTCTGGATAGATCTCATTTTGCTGTGGGCCTGTTTGCATGCAAGGAGCCCTGGACTTGACCCACAACATGACAGAAACTAGGCCTAATACTGCACACTTATAACCCCAGCACTCTGGATTGGAGATGGGGGGGCACACGGGGGGTCAGAAGTTCAAAGTCATCCTTGGCTACATACTGAGTCTGAATCCAGTCTGGGATATATAAGGGAAAGGCATCAGGAATGAACCAAGGCCCAGAATAGCAGAGAGCCCACGGGGGAGACCCACCAGCCAGGCAGGATGGATGAGCATATGTGCACACCAGGGAGGTGAAATCCACCATGTCAATTGGGCATTCGTGCACTGAGGTCACACAGGCCCCCATGGGGTGTCCATCTGTTGTATGTGTGCCCCAGTGGGACCACAAAGGCTGTGGTATGTCAGTCTGGCCCACACACAGGTTCACAGGCTCCCACTTGTGCGTGTACAGTGAATGCATGCTCAAGTGTCTGTGCACAGACGCCCATGTGAGCAACAACTCTTCCTGAGGCTCCAGAATCAAACTCTCCCGGTAGCTGAGTCTGCAGAGAAAGTCCCTCTTTGTTGCCATTCTTACTACCATCTGCCCCGCCCCCTGGCTCTCTCAGCTGGCTACTGTGATACTGACCAAGGACTGCAAGATAGCATGGTTGGTGGCATTCATACAGGAGTCCAGTGGAAAGGCACACTCCCCCTCGCAGTAATAGGCTGAGTAGCCCTGGGGGGCAATGACCCAGTCCTGTGGGTGGGAAAAGGAGTCACATCAGTGTCCTTCCATAGACACAGGATGACCTGGGGCTGTGAACCCTCATCCCCTCAGCCACCCTCAGCAGGCAGGGCTGGACCCCAGCTCAGTCCTCCACACCTCACCCTCTGCTGTCTCCTCCACAGCTGCCCCCGTTCCTTCTGCAGCTGTAGCAGGAAGAGCCCAAAGGCCCTGCCCACCCAGCCTCAGTTTCCCTGTTGACAGTTTACTGGGCAGAGGGCTCAGGTTGCCGCCACAGTTTTTATGCGCTGTTAAAGGCACAGTATCTCCACCCCCACCCTGGAGACACCAGGCTCTGCAGGTGGCATTCAGGGAGGAGAGGCAGAAATTACCAGCCAGCCGAGGTCCCGGAAGCTGACATAGAGCTCATGCCTACGGCAAACATCTCTTCCTCGGGAGCCGTGACCTTCATCTGTGGGGGACAAAAAGGTGCAAAGTCTGCTCAGGGATCCTGCTCTATGGAGTTGCCGTGGGTACTCCCAATGTGGGGGTGATATGACAGGCACATTTACAAATGAAGGACAACAGGAAACTAAACCATTGGAATCACAAGTTCTACTTCTGGATCCCAGCTCAACAGTCCTCAGTGGCTCCCCACTGGCATTTGGGCATACATGGCTTCTGCTTTCCTCTGCAGACTCTTGACTGCAGCCTCCTCCCTGCCAGGCACAGCCCCCCTCCCTGTCAGTCACAGCCCCCCTTCCAGCCAGGCACAGCCCCCTCCCAGCCAGGCACAGCCCCCTCCCTGCCAGGCTCAGCAATTAGATCCATTGGCAGGCCATCACTTTCTAAAGAGGCCTCGGATGAGGCTCAACCCCACCCTCACCAAAGATCCCTGGGAGTCTGTTGGGATGTGGAAGCTCATTTGTTTTCTTTGGCTGCCTCCTCTTCAGTGGCCTCACTGCCCGAGGGGCCCGCACAGAGCTTGGGCTGGCTCTGAAGAAGGTGACCATGAAAGGCTGTCTGGATCGTGGTGCTTGTTGTCCCAGCAGACCAGCCAGGCCAGGATCCATGCTGTGCCCTGGGAGACAGAGACAGAGACCGAGATATATGTGTGTGTGTGTGTGTGTGTGTGTGTGTGAGAGAGAGAGAGAGAGAGAGAGAGAGAGAGAGAGAGAGAGAGAGAGAGAGAGACTTGGTGGTGGTGACATGGCACCATGAACCTCAGTTTCCTCATCTGGAGAACATCCCAAGCACTTTGGCCAGCAGGTCTGCCGTGGCAGGGACAGGGACCTCAGTATCCACAGGCATTCCTGCTGCTGCTAACCTGACAGATGGGAAACATTTGGCAGGTGTCAAGGATTTCGCCCATTACTTTCCTCAGTTGGTCCTCACTGTAACCCAAGTCACAGTCACTCAGAGATGAACAGAGTTCACTGCTGGTGATGCTCAGGACCCAGATTTCCTTGTTCCAGTGATCTAACAGCCAGGTCCCAACTTCCTCCTGTGCTTTCTGGGGACTAGAATGTGCAGGTCAGGACACACTAGCTCATGGCAGCCTCTGCAAGACATCGCTGGGGCTTTTTCTCCCAGCGTAGCAAACTTGATCATCCAAGGGCAGTGCAGTCACAGCCAAGGCCCCAGGCTGAGCAGGGCCAGAGGTCAGAACGGTCACAAAGCCCAGGGTTGGGGTCACATCAGGCTCATTCCAGTGTGTGTTCACCAGGCCAGCCGATTGCTTCAGAGAAAGGAAGGGGCTTCAGAGAGACAGACCTGAGCTTGTCCACAGGAAGAGTGGAACCTATAAAAGGAGTGGGGAGTTCTCTGATCCACTAAGGACTGAAGATGTCAACCCAGGGAGAGCAAAGCCTCCAGCATCAGCTCTGGCTATGCTGGTGGTCCCCCGTCAGTGGCCTCCGCCCTAGCTGTAAAAGTAGCATGTTAAGCTGGTGTGTTGGCACATTCCTGTAAACCCAGCATTCAGCAGAGGAAAGCAGGAGATTGAGGAATTCTAGGTCATTCTACTCATATTGAGTTGGAGGTCAGTCAAGGCCTGTCATAAAAGCCTGTTTCAAAAAATCAAACAAGGTTCGGCATGGAGGCACATACATTTGATTCTAGCACTCAGGAGGCAGAAAGAGGCAGAACTCTATGAGTCTGAGGCTAGCCTGGTCTACATAGGTGAATTCCAGACCCACCAAGGCTGTCTCAAAAAAAAAAACAAAAAAAACAAAAAACAAAAAAACAACCAACCTCACAAACAACTAAAAATTAAAAATACAAACCAAAGCAAACCAAACCAAATAAAACCAAACCAAATAAAAACAGGTAAAGAGTGTAATAACCACAGGGGGATAAGGAACTTTCAAGAAGGAAAAGAGACCATAAACTCCCTTCACAGCTCCAAAGCTCTCCTTTCATACCCTGGGCTGCTTCTGTCCTGTTGGTTTAAGTTGTAAACAGTTCTTAGCATTGCAAACCTTTCCCATTGTTAGAACGTTCTCCAGGAAAACCACCCACGCTCAGCAGCTCACTTTGGGTGGGGTCACCTCCCACCAGGCAGTCAGGTTCCTTTTTTGGTGTCATGCTAGGACTCAGAACCATTTCCCTTTGTGCCCATATGAGATTCCTTACACTAAAGCTCGACAATGTTCACTTCCTATATCACGAAACTCAGCACCACTGTTCAGCTGACATGTAACAGGCACTGATACACACATGCACATGCATGTAGGTGCATATATAAAATCTCAGACAATAATGTGGATCAGTGTTCTTGCTTAGTATGCTCAATGTCCTGGGTTCTACCCCAGTGCTGGAAAAATGTAAAAGAAGCCAAAGGGCTGAGGCCACAGCTTAGCAGTAGTGTACCAGCCTAGTAAGCATGAAGCCTTAGGTAAAATCCCAACACAAAACCATGGCGAAACAACACTCCTCTGTGTGTGCACACTCAGGACTGTTTGTTCCACTTGCAATCTACAAGGCTCTTCATCTCTTCATTACACACTGAGTCAAGGCCGCTGTCCGCCTGTGGTGGGCAGTCCACTCTAAAGGTCGTATGTGAGCAACTGGATTCTACAGATGTCCACCAGCCACTTGAAAGAAAAGCCCAACACAACCTTTGACTTATGACTTCACCTGCCACTAACAAACATGGTAGGCCTGTGGGACTCCATCCCAGGACTGTGACAGAGAGCTGTGGGACAAGAGGCATGGCCTGGGACAGAGACTCCAGGGAGGTCAGGCAGGAAGAATGGGGCCCAGAGTGAAGACGGTGGGACAGCAGATGGGGCATGAGGGGGCAGAGAAGCTTCAGGCAGAGGAGACAGACAGGGAGGGCCCCAGGGTCACACACTGGGAGGATGGAGCAGCTGGCAGCAGGAAGGGCAGTGAAAGCCACAGTGTCAGGCCCTACAAGTGACACAAGGGGCAGGCTTGGACCCAGAACAGGCCCTGTGTTCCTGCTACTTACTGTGGAGTCCCAGAGCCCTGGCTTCTGAGAAACACAAAGGCCATCAGTGTCCCCTGGGTTGTGTCCCCCAGCCACATTTGTTTTCCTATCATGTCACTGGTCTTGTGTAATGAAGAGCCTTGTAGAGTGCAAAGCCAGCCTGCATGGGTGCTGGGGACCTCTGGAGGCTCTCAGGTCAAGGTGAGCTGGACTGAGAGCCCATGGATGCAGCTAAACCAAGGTTCCCATTTTACAGGCGCACAAGCTAAGACCCAGAGATGGCATCAACTGTTCAAGGCCTGGACCAAGCAGCTGCAGAGCCAAAAAACTCCTGCCCTGCCCAGACAAGGCAGAGACTGGGTGAGGTGGGCAGAAGCCCATGGGGATTGATGCTGCTCTTTCTTTCACAGTCCTGTATCTGATAGACCCAGAGAAGCTGCTCATGTCCAAACCGAGTGCACCTTCCCTCCCAACTCTGCTCCTTGTCACTATCATCACATAGGACCCTATCTGGTGGAAGGCCATCAGGCTTTCCAGCTCTGACAGAAAAGCATGGTGGGGGTGCTTTCTCAGGGCACGAACACACACACACACATATACACACTCACATAAACATGCACACATGATGAACACACACACACACACACACACACACACACACACACCTCTTTATAACTTTTTTCACTTTTCACCCTGAGACTCAGAATGACAGACCCCAGAGCTGCCACATTGGGGTTAGGAAGGGAGGCCAGCTGGACTTCCAGAACAGAATGTCAGTACTGTAGGGACAACAGGAGACACTGCAGTTTACTAGGTGAGAATCCATCCATGGCAATGATTAGATTCTAGACCACGCATGCTGAGCCCAGGCCTCTGTGGACACATGCCGGAACTGCTAAAGTACAGCGGGTTTTCCAGGTGGAGTACCAGCACCAACCATCTTCCCTTAGTCCCAATCTAAAGGCGACAGGCCTGCCTGCATGCCTCCCTTCTCGGAACACCTATGCAGCTTCCCGGAGGAAGTCGGGTGGGGGCAGATTTGGAGAAACAAAATTAGGAGCAGAATCCAGGGCCCAGGAAGAGAAGCCAGAGTTCCTCCTGCTCACAGAACTACAGGTCTGCATCTCCTGCCCCCCGCCCCTTGTCTTCAGGCCTCATGATTCAGTTAGGAGCAGCAGCACTGGTGTTGACACCTGTCAGGGGATGATCTGGAGCCACGGAACCAGTGTCCTTGATTGTTTTAGTGCAGGGCTTTAGTTAGGCACCAGACACACAGGCTCAGCTTGGGGTTTTTAATTAAAATCACTCGGCTCTTGAGAAGATACCATCTGGCAGCTGGAAGCCAATGGTCACAAATCAGCCCTGGAGGGAGGGGTCAGAACTCCTCAAGCATCAGGTTTGATCTGCTGCATGGGCTTAAGGTCGGGGGACACTTTAAAGGCACAGCCTGTGGTGGCCTTGACCTCATCCAGTGACGAGCCCTCCCACAGCTCCACCAGCGTCAGCCCCTTCTTCGGGTCCACGTCAAACACGGCCTTTTCGGTGATGATGAGGTTCACGCAGCGCTTGCCGGTCAGCGGCATGGTGCATTTCTCCAAGATTTTGGGCTGCTTTTTCTTGGTGCAATGCTCCATGGTGACCACCACTTTGGTCTTGTCACCCGACACCAAGTCCATGGCCCCGCCCATGCCCTTCACCTTCTGGCCTGGCACCATCCAGTTGGCCAGGTCACCGTATTTGGAAACCTGCATGGCACCGAGCATGGTCAGTTGGATGTGTCCCCCGCGGATCATGGCAAAAGAGTCATCGCTGGCGAAGAAACAGCCCCCGGGAATCACGGTCACCGTCTGCTTGCCCGCGTTGATGATGTCGGCGTCCACTTCATTTTTCGAGGGGAACGGGCCCAAGCCCAGGATCCCATTTTCACTGTGCAGGTATACCTTCATCTTGGGGCTGATGAAGTTGCTGGCCAGGAGAGGGATCCCGATGCCCAGGTTGGCATACATGCCGTCCTCAAACTCGAGAGCTGCGCGCTTGATGATGCGCGTCCTGGAGGATTCCTGTTGCTTGCTCATAGTCGCTGGTGTACTGTCGCGCGTAGTCAGGCGCTCAATGCGCTTCTCGAACTTCGGCCCCTTGATCACGCGGTCCACGTAGATGTTGGGGACGTGGATGTCCTCCGGGCGGAAAGAGCCCACGTCCACGATCTCCTCCACCTCCACCACCGAGATGTCCGCGGCCTTGCACATGGGCACGTTGAAGTTGAACGCGCTGCCCCGGAATATCACGTTGCCTGAGCGGTCGGCCTTCCAGCCCTTGATCAGGGCGAAGTCGGCGCGGATGGCATGCTCCAGCAGGTAGTGGCGGCCCTGGAACTCGCGCACCTCCCGCGGCTGGCTCAGGGTAATCAGGTGACCCTCGGGCGAGTACCGGATCGGGGCGCCCCCTTCCTGCACCAGCGTGCCGTAGCCCGTAGGCGTGTAGAAGGCGGGCACGCCGGCGCCACCTGCGCGGATGCGCTCGGCCAGGGTGCCCTGCGGAGTCATCTCCAGGTCCAGCTCGCCTGACAGGTACAGTTGCTCGCACAGCTGGTTCTCCCCCAGGTACGAGCACACCACGCGCTTGACCTGCTTGGAGGCCAGCAAGATGCCCAGGCCGAAGTCATCCACGCCCACATTGCTGCTGACGATCTTCAGGTCCTTGACGCCCTTGGTCTTCAGCGCAGCGATCAGGTTCTCGGGGATGCCACACAGCCCAAAACCCCCGAGCATGACGGTCGACCCATCCTTGACGCCCTCCAGCGCCTTCACCGGATCGGTGTAGAAGTAGACCCGTCCACTGCGGTGGCTGCAGCGGTCGCTAGCAAAGCGGAGGGCAAGGTAGTGCGGTGGGGGGCAGGCGGGGCCCCCGCGCGGGAGCGCCCACGCCAGAAGCCTCAGCGCCGCCATGGTCCACCTACCACGGGCCTCCCAGAGAGGGGAAAGGCCGGGTGCACCCTGTGAGCCTGCCCCACGCCACCTCTGTTTTGCGTCATAGAGCAGGGAGGACACCGACCGTGACTGCCACGGGTCTAAACACTGAGGACCGCCTTGTCCATCCCTGTGGCCTGGCCTGTCTCACAAGATCTTGGACAGGCACTGGAAACCCTTGGTAATGCTGCTGACAACTGGCTGCCAGCGCTGTGGCCCTGTGGTACCCAGGAGAGTGCACCTGGGGGCAGGGTTAGGATTCCCCTCCTTGAGGGGCTGAAGTTAGCTAGGTCTTCTAAAGCCACAGTCACATCTGTCACCCACTGCTGTTAAAGGGCTCTAAACTTTCCAAGTACCTTGCCAGTTTTCCCTAACTCAGAGTGACCCCTGACACCTCTCTGCCCCTCTCCTTCCAAGCTATCCTTCCAGCCTTTTGCTGGACCCCAGCTGCCCTTTCTGTCCTCACTACCCGACATAAAGGAAATGTCCCACAAAAACCCTGTGAGTGAATCAGTGACTATAAACCTGTGTAGGCCAGGAAACTGAGACTCAGACCCCCCGGCCCCCATCTTGAGCAAAGGATACCAGAGCTGGCTCTCAGGAGGTCAGTTGCTATTAGGAGGAGCAGGAAGGCAGCCTGGCTGGGGCCTCCCCCATCCAGGGCCTCACCCCTCTACCCACCGAGTTCTCAAGAAAGGCCAAGTATGGCCCAGGGAGAGGGCTCTGTGTACTAGGCTGGCAGCCTCTGCTGGAACCACCTCCCAAGACCCCCAGGGCAGCTCCCTGCTAAGGCCTGGAGCCTCACCATCCTCGGTTTCCACATAGAGGCGGAGTCCCAGGTCCTTGTTATGGTTCAGCAACCAGTGGTCACTGGCTGCAGTGATGTCCAGCACCAGCCAGCCCTCGTCCCCAGATCGGAGCGTCTGAAGATCCAAAAAGAACAAGTCAGACTCCCTGTGGACATGAAAGAACAATTAACCAAGGCTGAGGTTGGCACACCTGCCTGTATCTTGTGCCTGCCCTGGGGATCAGTTTCAGAGCCCCTTCCCTGCCTGGCTCTGGACTGACCTCCTTAGGTCACACAGAGCCTCCACATTCCATAGATAACCAACCCCTGACATTTTACTGTGTCCGTGTGCTGGTGGGGACACTGGCTCCATGGCTCAGTGCTGTGACCTATTGATGGCTCCACAGTCACTGGCAGGGCAGGGAGTTCAGGCCAAGCCCCATTCTCATGTCTGAGGTGCCTCTCCCAGCAGGTGCCCCTTTCTTTTCTTGGAAATGCACCCTCTGGACAGGCCCTGCCAGAGCCTAGACCATGAGAGCATGAGGTGATGTGGGCACCCTGGCAGAGGGAAGGTACCTGTTGGAGTGCTCCTGAACCACCTCGAACATGCTGACATGGAGGGTTGTGTTGAGTGGGTGGGTGCTGGGCTCTTTATATATCCGGAACTCAGCAGCTGTGACAGCCTCCCCAGCAGGGATCTGGGTCAGGTCAAAGAGGAATTCCTTCCAGTGTGGCTCCTGGTAGTCCAGGGTACGGTCGCGCTCCACTGGAAGACAATGTAGGAACACGGTCATCTCTAGGAGTCAATATGGCTGTGCTAATAGTAGGACCCCAGGCAGCCTGGATGGGGCCTGCTCCTGCTCTACACACAGCTTGTGGTCTGCTCTGGGAAGCACACCAGGCCCCAGGACGTGGTATAGTGGGAAACTCAGCAAGTGCTCTGCAGCCCCTGGACCCAGCAATGAATCACAGTGCCTCCTCTCAGAGCTCCTAGGTCAACAGTGAGATGGACATTGGTCCCAAGGTAGAAAATTACCACAGTTCCCGGGAAAACCTGACTATAGGGACATAATTTGTCTGAATTTCAGTGGGACAGAGGACTCCAGAGCCTGTCCTTGATGAGAGGGTTGGTGGGGGAGCTCAGATCTGTCAGCTGATCTGGGCTGTTAGTTCTGTTTGAGTTTTCCTCAGTGTCCTGGGAGAGAGATGTGCAGAGCGCAGGCCACATTACAAGATCAGCAACAGAAGGACCTTAGGAAAGCGAGGGAGGGACCAACCAGTGTCAGCAACTAGGGGACAAAAGATCTGCTAGAGAACAAAGGGAAGAAGGCAGGCAGAAAGCAAGAGGAAATGGTGACATCTGAACTGATGGACAAGAAGGTGTCTTGGGCAGTGGCCAAACATGCTCTAGGCAGAGGGCAGTTGTCTGTAGACCATGGCTGTTGGGTGTAGCAGTGGGTTTGGCTGAAATCCAGGGCTGGGAGCAAGGCTGTGTTAGTGGGAGCCATGTGGTCTAAGGGACCCCATACAAGACCTGCTGGAGGTGAATGAAGGTATTGGCAGTCTAGGGTGATAGCTGAGGAAGAGCTCGGGATGGAAGCTAACTGTGCTCCCTATGGAAAGGCCAAGATTTTAGAATAAAACCCGCTCCCCAGCTGCACTGATGTGCCCAGAATGGTATATTTAGGGTAGCCTCATTTCAGCCACTTGTCACTTTCAAATGCCAAAATCTGTGTTTCCGGAAAGAAGGGGTGGGGAGCCGCCCAGCACTGTCCCCAAAACCCAACAGAGATTTTAATTGTATGTTTAGTCTTAAAAAAAAAAAAATCCTCTCTGTGGCTATGGGCTCAGTGACCACAGGCGGGTTTTAAAAAGCACCAGGGTGAGCGGATGTGAGGAGTATTTCCTGTCCTCTCTCTAGAGTCCTGGTCCAGTGATGAATGGAATACAGATGTGCTGGGCAGAGCCAAGGGACAGGCACATCTGGGCAGAAGCAGGTGGAAAGGGAGAGGAAGGAATGGACAGTGTCCTACAGCACTAAAAGATGGTGGGCACACAGCACATGCCAGCCCAAAAGTCAAGAGACAGATTGAGACACAGCAGACATCATTGAGGGTGGGTTCTGAACCTTGGCCTATGTTTTTTTCTGCAGTGAAAATCTATCCTCATGTGTCCTCCTCCCTACCTAGCTACTTACACACCCACAGTGTTGTTGACAATTTCAGTGGGTCCAGGAGCTGCACAGGCACCTCAGCTACATGACTGTGCTCACAGGTCCTGATGTACAGGATACAGTTGGTCCAGGCTGTTGCCTGTAACAGGGTATGGTCAGATCGTGTCTCTCAGGCACATCCTCCTCTCCACCTTTTTCAGGACACAGTGGGGCACTCAAGTGCATCCTGGGAACTTTATCAGGAGACTGACCCTGAGCTCTGTGGCCACCCTCCCTTAATGATGTGTGTCTTTAAATACTCTTGGATTGAACTGGCTCTCACTTCCAGACTTCTGTGCTATGGGTTTGTGAAATAAAGAGCCAGGGATTCCAGCACAAGAAATTCTGTCTTGGTTGTTCCAGACAGAATTTGGTTTTTTGGTTTTTTGTTGAGTTCTTTCTTTCTTTCTTTCTTTCTTTCTTTCTTTCTTTCTTTCTTTCTTTCTT